GTTGGGGAATGGCACGAGCTTCCTAAATTGTGTACTTTCCCAACAAACGGTGGGCGATATTTGCTTGTAGGCTTATTCCCGAAGAAACTTCCCAAGGGAAGGAAGTGATGCATACCGCGAACGGCACCTGCTTTGCTCGAGGGCGCAAGAAACGTTCTGGGGCTTTGACAAGGCATTTGGAATTACCTATTTAGTCTAGTCGTTTGTTGTTCACAGCGGTCGAAGCTTACGGTTTGACCTTGCTTGACGAAAATAGAAGGCTGGGGATCTGTTTGTCCTGTCCTCTCAAGTTTTAAATTAAGTTTAACTCACTGGTTTGTGGTCTTCTAGCCTAGAAGCCGTTCATCCCTAAGCTGACGCAGTGTCAGCTTAGGGATGAACGCTGAAAGCTACGTGTTTGTGGAGCAGTCAGACGTCTATCGGCCGCCACGTAAACACGCTCTCGTTCATACCCACGCGCAGAGAAAGGGACGGGTCAGGTGATCAAAGGAAGGAGCTTGATCGGTTCTGGATAGCTTGCAGCCCCCACCGCACTGTCAGCTTAGGAATAAACGAAGTATAGTATCGTCTGATGACGCGACGCCGTGAATCTGTCTAGCCTGGATTTCGTAAGCCGTGGCCTTCCAGCGATGCCTGCACGTAAGCTTTTCTCCTTCGCCTTGCCAGCCCTCCTTTCTGCGTCTGTCCAGCTCATCGTACGAGGCTTTGCGCTCAGGTGGCCGTCGTTTATTTCTTCCGATGCTCTTTCACATTTCACCATGCAAAATAATTTTCTCCTTTTTAAAGCTGGCAAGCAAACTTCCTAATTTAGGACAAAAGTAATTGCAAAAGCAATAAGTAATTTTTTTCAAATTACTGCATGAAAGTTATTCATTACATCATTCATTACTCCAAAAATTTATTTAATACCGTAATGTCATTACTGCCATCTCTGAAGTATAGTAGAGAATTACTCCCCGGAAGGTCGCTTTGCTGCATTAAGAGACATTCTGCGGGGAAGCACATATGCAGGTGAAGCACGGGAGGACTTCACCGTGAAATACACGACTCCTGTCGGGAAATAAGTACCCGCAAAACTGTAACTGTTTTTGTTCATGAGAGCGCTGGAAAGGGCAATTATATTTTTAATACAATAAATCTTACACGATTAATAAAACACATTTGCTTGCATGGAATTGCCGCATTCTGAAATCTTACAAAACTACCGTGGTGTCGGCTCGCTTCATCACCAAAACGAAAACCTTGACAACATACCTCTTGTTGCATTTAAACAAGTTACCAAGGGAAGTGTGAGGCGACTGTCATCACTTCCGTTGGAAAAAAAAAAATACTGAGGATTGTTTTTGTCTTTCGTGTTAAATTCTCACAAACTGACTGATATGAAATGACGCTCTGCCAGCTTGAAAATGGTTAATAGCTGATGTTTTGATAAAAGAACACAACTCCTGCGACACGTCGGAAGCTCGCATGAAGCTCCCAGGATGTATTATTAAACCAGTTTTCTTCCCACAATCTCACTGGACAGTGAGGGCTGCAGGGGGGCGACATCGCCGCTTTGAGGCGCGCAGTCTCCAACACTATAAAAGACCCATTAAATAAGGCAGCTATTGCGGCTGTCTTAGACACGTTTAGAAATTTAATTACGGCTGTACTAAGGGCACGTTCGAGACTGCCGCTTGACTCCGATTTTCGCAGAGACAAAAGCCTTCAGGCGTCCTCACAACGTATACCCCGTGCGAGGCTCCGTCTCTCCCGATGGTTACGTGGGACTTACACAGTGCCGGGCTGTCTCCGATGATTCGTGGTGTCCACTCAACTAGGATGTTATCCTTTGTTGCTGTTGCTAAACAATACCCCTCAAGAAAAGCAAAGGCAAACATAAAGGCCAAAACCAAGAAGCCGATAGGCTGTTGCGTGTGTTTTGCGGTCGCAAAGACTGAAGGCGCCAAGCGCCACTCTGACGATTGGAGAGAGGAGCGCAACGTAGAGGACGCCGTGCTTCGCGACTCCGATAGCCCGGTACCACTGGACGCTGCTTGGGTGAATGTTTTTTTTCTTCCAGTTTTTACAACGCAGTATGTTACATCATTCTTTTAAATGCGATTCTCAGATTTATCGCCCTATAGAACCGTTAGGCTGGGCCAGGGGGCGCTCTGGAGCGATACTAGTGGCGCCAGGCCGTGGCGCAAATTCGCCCTAATGTGGCGGTCGCTTGTTCAGTCGTGTTGCCACTTGCAATGGCGAGCATCGCGGTGGCATACTATTGCAGTTCCGTGTATGTTAAAAAAAGCGGTATTTCTTTCTTTTCTTTATTTAGGGAGGCGTTCCTCCGTAAAGGTAGGTTGCTTGTGTACCAGGTCTCCGGGGTGGAGGTGATAATCTGGAGAAAAGAACATTCGTCGACAGTGACGTGCGTCTCGCAAGGGCAAGACAGCGTCGCCTATGACACTCACCTCAAGTTGAATGCTGTTTTCTCTTTATGGCTTCACTCGCTCTCAGAAGTCAGAGCTATTCGGACAAAAATGACGAGGCTATATTGTCTAAATTGTCTTTTCGCGTACGGCTGCGCAGTCGCACAGGCTCCTCGAGCTCAGGCAAGTGCTCTCGCAAAGTCGGAGTTACGGCTGCTGGAAGCATGTTGCGCCTGTTTTAATTCTTGCGGATGACGAGATACGACGAGACATACACAGCCTGACTGCAACAGTAGTTCAAGCCGTCCAAAAAAACAAAACATAGCTCATCTGTTCTCAGGTATTCTGAGCAGGTCAAATAGCGAAATAAAATATTTTTTTACAACACACCGCGACACCTTGTTGTGTTTACACACATGTACCGGTCCGTCTGTAGCCCACTCATACCTTTGAGTAAAACGAGTGATTGCCGATCAACTTACATTCGAGCCACTGATGTCGCTTTCTTAAAACAAAAAAAAATCAACTTTTTTTTTACCTCAGAATGATTATTTTGAACACATTTGCAAGTGAGTGCAACTAAGTTTTCTTGCGTGACTTTTTTTGTTTGTCTTCTGTTTAGGCACTGTTATACTTGATATATCTAGACCCTCTGCAACAGGAACTGTTCTCAATATTACTTATTTTTTCTGCCTAAAATGTGGTTATTTTTTTAATTTCGGTTATACATTTTTAGTTATTTACCTTGGTGATGTATCCTGTCCTCACCCTCTTTATATTGATTTCTTTTTATGCATCTTTTTACAGCACTGGCCACCAGTGCTGTAAAAAGGGAACCGCGCAGGGTGACCGTCATGCTTAGGATGTGCAGCATTTACAGTAGTGATGTCTGATGTACGTGTCAGAGGCTCAGAACTCACTGCGCACCGTCGGGGTTTAAGTGCATCGAAACACGTGATAAACGTGTGCCATGGTTACTAAGATTAAACTTTAGCATAGCGCAACCGCAGGCTACCCTACTGTGCGGAATTGCAACCGGAAGCTCCCGTTGCATCTTTGAAACATCAATTCAAGCTCTTGCCTGGAGCATTGCCGTGCCCACGGTAGCCTGCAGTAACGCTAAAACTGGCTATTAACGCTGCGGCAAGTTGGGGGGGGGGGTAGGTGTAGCTTTATTAAAACGGTTATAGTTTTCATATAACGTATACTACACATGTGTACCGTGTTATTCGCAGCGTCACCACCCGCATCGCCGAAACTACCCGTTTTAAAATATTGGGTTGTGTGTGTGTGTTTATACAGTCTAGAACTTGGTCTGCCTCAACGGGCGACGAGTCTCCCAGCTGTACATGAGAAATATAGCCAGTGCAGTACAGCCGCTAGCCTGGGGTCTTTAACGTGCACCACGCAGTAGTGATACAGTACCGCACGCCGGTACGATGCTCATCCAGATTGAAACTGGCAGGGGCGGGGATCGAACCCAGGATCCCCGGGTTCTGCAGCGCGAGCTTTCGCTCCACGTGCTCCGAGCTGCTGTGCGCTAGCCCACTCGGCCACCGATCCCCCTGCCCTTTCTAAACGCACCCCAGGAATCACACACAGACGTGCTTAAAAATTCTGCGATAATTTATATACTGGCCGTCGTAACTACCTGGAAGCAAGTAGGTGCACTGTGGCTTTTGGAAGTGCTTGGAGCAAACGGCCATGTTCCTTTTCGCGTCCTTTCAGCTCGTAAACGCGAACCCATTTCTGATGTCTACCGCTTGACACGCCGTCGCGCAAGCAGTTTTCTGCTACTTTCTAAGAAAAATAAAAAAAAAAACTTTTTGGCTTCAAGAGCTTCAAACTGCTAGCTGGATATTTTGCCGTCACGTTGAGCACAGAGTGAGCTTGCAACCGCAAAACACGAAATCCGCAGCGTATGCTAGCATCTATGAAACTTTCCTAATGAAATTTGACGTCCCGGTTCCTTCGTGCAACGCTGTTGCGAAGCGGAACGCGACAAATAATTTAGGGCGCTCGGGTTTTCCGTTGAAACAGCAGGTTGCGCGAGCACGCCGACCAGAATTATCCGGTAACAGCAACACCAAAACCGAAATTCTCTGCGACCATATCCGCCGCCGTCCCCGCTTCTCTGGTTTTTCGTTCGACCGCGAGAGGGCGAGCCGCGGGTTGGAATTGCGAATAGCATTCCTTTTGACAGCAAATTCAAAGTTGTAACACTACACGAATGCACACGAGCGAGAAAGTGATAATTCAATACGTTGTGTACAACTTGAACTTTGAGCTCTTCCTGAGGCCTACAAATCTCGTAACAAAAAATGACGTTAAGGCCTGCAAAACGCGTAACCAAAAATGTCCCTCCCGCCCCCCCCCCCCCCCCCCCCCAAAAAAAAAAAAAGAAACAACAGCAAAATTTAGTTTAGGTTACCGTTTTTACACTTTTACTTCTTCTATTGTTCTGAATTGACGGAATAGTCCATTTTCCTGTCAATGTGAGATGAAGCAATGACGCACATGGAAAGCACCAATTCGTAGACTCTAGGATAGATGAGAGCATTCAGTAGGCGAGCTTGAACCTTTTGCGGCATGATCGTAATTTTGGCATTCACCGCCTTCGTGAAACCCGCAGCAACAGGTGAGGACCTTAAGATTACTAACACAATTACGGAACTACTTTAGGTAATTTAACAACGGGAAGAGCAAGATCGTCTGCTTCTTGTGCAGGAGTTGCGGTGAAGTCAGAACGACACCGACCTCTGACTGGGTTTGATTGAAAGGGTAGTGCGTAGACATCAATGCTAGATGCCTTGAGGCCTACCGACTGTTCTCTTCAATCAGCCAATAAGATCTCTGCGTCCTGACATCATCGCAACCCCTGAGCAAGAAGCAGACGATCTTGCGCTCCGAATGAAATAACTTCATAGTGCTTACGGATAACCCCCCCCCCCCCTCTCCCGTTTATTTACTATTATTTTTGAGTCATTGCGTTTACCGTTATAAAATGTAAATGTCTGTTCATTTTGTTTGTCTTGTTTATGTGCTTATTTTTTTTTTCCAGGTTATGTTTCGGAGGAGTTAGTGTTCCCGAAAGTCATCCAGGAAAGGATAGCGAGTAGCGAAAAGGTTGTTTTTATAAAGCCAGGCATTTTTCTTAACTTGGAGAAAAGCCATATATTGGCTGATCAACTTATATTGACTGATTCTGAAGACGACGCACTCGTCCATACGATCGTACGTAATATTTTGTGGCTCTTTTGTGTCGGCACGCAATTGTTTTATAATTTGTAACGGATGAGGTAAATATTAAACTTATTTCCACTGTAGTGTTCGTTACTAAAATATTAAGATATAAAAATATTATACGCATAAATACATAAAATATTTCGAGTTCCCAGGAGATTAAAGTGCAACAATCTAGTCAAAACGTAGTATAAAGGATAATGTTTAATTCAATAATGTTTAATGAAAACAATTAAGATGTCCCAAATTATAAGACTATACATTGAGAAAATGCAGCCTATCGAAAACATGCTTTAAGGTTGATTTTCTAGTTGACTCAAAAAAAAAAAAAACTGTCAAGCGTCACTTTTTTTACTAATATGTGGTAAAAAATTTCCTCCTTTTATGTCTCGAAGATAAACGGAACCAAAGCAGAAGAAAATTTGTATCATGACAAGTACAAGGGCTCATCTCTCTTTCTCCATCAAACTGGTGACGCTGTATATCTTGTAAGTCATCTTCCACTCACTGAAGAAAACTGTGGATCGATTTGGATTGAGTCCAAAAAGGGTGAAATACTTTATAGTGCGAAATATGCTCTGTAGCGAATACTTGGTTTCGTGCCTCTTCAGAAAGGAATGCTCACTCCAGAGTGGCAGATCGAACCATCGATCACCGAGGAGCGTTCACCGAACAATGGCGTGGCTCATCGAGTGGCTAAAATCCCAAAAGCACCACTCTATTGCAAACAGATAGGTGCGCAGCTGCCTTACTTTTCATACGGTATTGTTCGAACCGGGACGTCGTTGAATGACTTTAATCTTGTGTCTTGTGTGCTTGGTGGTTGAATGACGGATGTCTCACGAGAGAATGAGCAGGAAGCTGCTTTATATTTCGAAAGCACAGTACGCATGACAAATTCTTCTCACGCAGCTGCGGAGGCCAATCATATCCATCACAATGTCGTCACTGGTAAGTATGTCACTGTTCGTCTATTAACAACCCATGTTAGACTTTCGTTTCCGTCAGCGAAAAATGACGGAGGCCCGTTAAATAGATTTCAAATTACTGAATGGCGTCAACGGCGCCAAAGTTTTCATACATTTTTATCTCATGTAAAAATGATGAGCACTTAACTCACTGGCTGAGTAGAGTGCTAACTATTTATTTTACACTCGCACTATAGATCCTTGCGCGAGTGCACAGTGATAAGAAATCGAAGCAAATAACAAAAAAAAAATACTAAAAGGGTTGGGCTTTTGATCGATAAACTCACCGATTATTCGATTAATGCTTTAATCGCGATTAATTTTTTAAACCGGTTAATCGGTTAAATTTCGACGAACAAACAGGGAAGTAAAAATTGAACCGTTTCACCACGTGAACGTGGACGAGTACGCCTGTATGAATGCAAACTTTAGGTAGAATTTTTGTACGAAAGTTATGAGTAGGGGCGAGATTTTTAACTTAAAAAAGTGAAGGTTATACGTGTCGCAGCCACTTCCACGCTGTGCGAGGGTCCGTTTAGCGCAGGAGGCACTATTGTGACCGATCGGAGTTCGCTATTGCTGGTGAATATCAACGAACCTCTTTGCCTCTGCGGCTGAAGTGATAATTTGGAAGTGTGGGTCTCTTTTGACTGCTCTCAAGTACCCATCAAGGTTGATTTGAAATCTGATACTGTAGATTTTGCCATTTATCAAACATTCAACATAAGAAAATATTTTTATTTTTTAAAATATTATGCATGGGAATGAACGAAGTCAATTCGATTAATTCATAAATTAAAAAGATGGCGATTAATTGAATTCAAATGTTTAATCGACGCCCCAAAATATCTCCTGGGAAGTCTCAACCGCCATTGCTTACTTTTTCCGTTTGTCAATTGTAGAAAGCCGACAGCTACCCGAACTCGTCACCCCAGAAGTGTACGTGATCTCCGACTATCGCCACAATCAAGCCTTCACACACTCGGATCTGGTGGCGTATATGGCGGCGCTATTCAACGCCGTAAGTGGCTTCCCGATCGTAGACTGACAGAATGGACGACATGCTTCGGCCGCTATACGGCAGCACACTATTTACAAACATGCCCGCTTTGCCCACACCAGGTGTGGGCAAACCGCGTGCGCGGAGATTAATATTGAGCGAGGCGAAGTATCTGCGCATGCGCAGAGCCTACAGCAGCGCCAGAGCACTGGCGTGACGTCAGGGAGTTGAGTTGGGCTGTGTTCCAAATCTTACCCAAATGGATCCGAGTTACTCCGGCGGATCGTGTCACGTGACAGCACAGATTGAAAAACGCTGGACGCGGGTAGGTTTTAGAACGCCAAAGGTACAAAACCCTTACCCTGGAGTAAGATCGAGTGAATTTTGGAACACGGCCCTGGTCTATAGACAGGTAGGATGTGACGTTATGGTACCATGCTGGTGGTCACTCCTACTTATTGTTGCCTTCAGTGGCGCGAAATGTATGATGCAGAGGGTACACGTTCAGCAGCAAGGCGACGATAAGGATATTCATGTTACATGAAAAAGAAGTCGGGCACACGAGGGGCTTGATAACTAAGACGCACCTACATATAATTGTTAGAAAAAAAAAAACATTTGAAAAGGAATAGATCTCTCGCAAAATCGAAACGATGTTAGCGGCGTAGTGCCTCACGAAGCAACTTGGAAAATCCTTGGCCAGTAAGTTTCGGTTTCGATTTGCCAACCTCACTTCACGACATCCCAATACGAGCAAATACAGTGCTTGGATTTTCAAATACGCCACTTTCCTTAAACGTATGATACCGTAGATGTGGCCTGACAATGCGGAGCGCAAGTTCGTCTGCTTCTTTTGAAGGGGTTGTGGTGACGTCAGAACGCCAAGCTCTGATTGGCTCTGAGTGAAGGATAGTGGGTAGAGCTCGGAGCAAGCTGCCTTGAGGTCTACCCACTATCCTTCAAGCAGAGCCAATCGCAGCTCGGCGTTCTGACGTCACCCCAACCCCTGCAAAAGAAGCAGACGAACTTGCACTCCGCATACGAATAGAATGCTGGGGTACGTTTTTTGGGGGGGCTTCCCACGTGCCAGAGTTTGTCCGCTGGTAAACACCGGGCTGCGATATCACATGGAAAAGAAGAAGTATATAGTAGGTTTGTCGTCCTGTTTCATCGCCTCCTTAATGTCCTTCTTAAATGATCCGGGAGACGCGAGGGTCGTGCTGCACTCTAGTTTGGTAGCCACCAGGCCGCCGGTAAGGTATGGGATGCGGCCTGGCCGAACTCCTATTCCTCGCTAAGCCTGCAGGCAGGTCCTTACGGGCGCTGGAGGTCCATGTATGAACGGGGGCGCTGTCACGAAGTTGAATTTGAGCAATCAATGCGAACGATTCTAGAGTTTAGTTTTTATGCAGCGATGAGATGCACCACCTCATCTATGGGCGATCAATCCCGAAACCATGCCACTCATCTCCGTTATCAAATAGTTCCCATAATCCAACACGCGCAGTGTTGCGTTCTGGGATTTTTGGAAGTAGGTTATTAAATGTATCACTATATCTAGAAAAAAAAGCACTCCATAGTAACTATTCATTAACTATCTTGTACACGTTATTCGAAAAGAAGTAATGGACTAGAATTCTGATTACTCGTGGTTTAAAATTGTTCAATTATGTTACTAGATTACTTGAAAAGAAAATTAATTGACGGTACACTTGAAAAAGTAAGCTATTACTTTCCGGTTACTTTAAATGAAGAAAAAGACATATTTTTTGTCGGTTTGAAAAGAGGTCTTTTGTACTGTCTCTTATTTAATTATAATCACCGAACAATAAACTAATTATCTTTTTCATTCACCAACTTTGGTAAACCATTCTCCTGTCGGAAACTTGGTTCAAAGATTTTTTGGTAAGAAATGTGTATAAATAAAGGGCGCCATATTAGGAAGGACAGGAACAGATAGTGAGGGTTACAAGTAATTTTAGTGCTTCCAGAAATAATGAGATTACTCTCGCAATTACTCCCTAACAATAGTAATCAAACGATTGCACAATTGTTAAAAAAGCAATTGATTACTTATAATGAGTACTGTACGAGTCTACCATAAACCTCCTTGGACGCGCTACGATTTCAAGATATTGAAGTGTCCGGACGTTTGTAGCTCAGGAAAAAGAGGACGTTCGTATTTTATACATCCTGAATCAGTTAACTTAAAATAGGCCTGAAACCGAAATCGATCAACCGAAATATTTCAGCACGTTGATCAGACTACTTGACATGCAATCAAGTAGTCTGATCATGTACTGCTTTCGAATATTAATTTACATGCGTAGTTCTCACTATAATTTTTATATATAAATACATTATACATATTTTTAAAAACTTACCTTTAAGGTGAAAGAAAACGCCTTTTGGCGATATGCCTGAGAAATGAAGAACGTTTTTTTTAGTTTTATTAGAAACAATTTTATACAAAGTTTTCTTTATTAAACTAGTCCTCTTCTAGACTAGGTTATTTCGCCCTGCTGGTTGCGAATAAACCACAGGGAGAAAAGATAGAGGAGTGTAAGCAGAAGATGCACTTTGATGATAACAGTGTTATTATCTCCATAGGTTATTCACGGCTTATCCGATTTAGCATATTACTTTTTAATATCAAGTGATATTTTTGCTCATAAGTACGAGTAAAAATTACGTAACAAAATCATCTCAGTTTTTAGGAGTGTTTTAGGTGGATCTCCGCTGGTCAAAATTTACTAAGCCACTTTTTTCACTTCGCAACCAACTTTGATTTAGTTATTTTTTCAGACGTTTATATTTCATTCTGCTGTATGCCTTACTTATTATCAATTAAGAAAATTTTAACAGCCTTGTGAAGGAAGCGCGTTGAGAACTCACTTGTTTCTTCACATCCACACAGGTCAACCTGAGGTTTGCAAGCATTTCAAAACCTTCCGTGCGTCTACGTCTCGTTGGAATACAACGGGGAACGGTAAGGACCTATTCGTTCATATAGCGTACAGGTTCAGCAAAAGTAAGACAAAATGCATGCGTTTGCCCTTGCTTAGAGTGGACCAATACTAACCTTTATTTCCTAGTGTTTAATGGCTTTATTTCAAGCCAGTTTGATTAGGAATTCACATATTTTTTTCTTTGACTGATTGTCATGTAAATAATAACCCAAATTACTATGAAAGTTTGGAAACTTGGTCATTTGAATACTAATTTTATCCTAAAGCGAATACTGAGATTTTAAGGTTTTAGCTCGAAATTATATATGCTATACTATATACACAAAATGATACATTTCTTAGAGCACCTTTCCTGGGTTCATGTTTTTTCGTGTAATTGCAACATGGTCTAATGTCTAACATCCCTGCTTTGAGCAAAAGTAATTGTTTATGAATGCTAGAACTTAAAATAGACGAAGGAAGGCATACACGTGCGTAATCCTACTAGCATCGACACCAGCTGTGAACAACAACTTGCACATTCTTGCAGCCTGAAACAGAAATCTACATGAAGAAACATCTCGGTCACACCCTCGGCACGGAATCTCTACTGAGGCTTCGAAACTACGTGAACTACGGCTACGTCCATGGTAATCCCGACATGGTGTATCTCATGACAGGGTAAGTGGGTTTGTAAGAACCGCCCACGTCGGATAATTTTAATGCGACATGTAGACTTCAAACTCATAGCATAATTTTTTTTTGTAGGAAGAAAATAGCAACATTGAAAAACGGTCGAATGTCCACTCGAGTTTCCGGTGAGTTAGCAGTTTGGATGTTTCTTTTTATGCGTATATGCAGCTCACTCGTTGATTCGCATGCCATGTTGTAATGCTTGGCTCACAATAGACCAGGGTGTAAGATAGACAGGTGGGGAAACGAGAGCCAAATGAGCGACCGGATTGTGTCCCCCTCGGTTTTCTCGTTTTCTGTGGCGCCATCTATGTGGAGCACTGCGAACTCTCACTCCGGGTGTGCGACTGGTGGCGACCGGCTAAACTGACGGAGACGGTTTCTCGCGGATTTTCAATGGAGGACTGTCGTGCTCTCGGTTTATTTTGCGCACTCTCCTATAGAGTTCCATGCAAATCCGAATCCGATTTTTTTTTTCTCTCGCCGCAGCGCCATCTGTTGCAAATCGGGGGTACCCGCAAGCAGACGAGTACACAATCCGGTCACGGCGCTGCGGTAGGCTTCTATGGGCCGTTTCCCCACCTGTCTATCTTACACCCTGCAATAGACCCTTTTTTATGAGTCGTTCGACTAACATAGGCGGTCGCCATTTTTCTTGGGCACGAAGCGTGTGATTGGAGCCGAGTCCTCGCTGAACGCTGACATCATCATCGCGTCCAGTAGACGCTCAGCATACGTGCACACACAATGGCAGACTCGGTTCAATTGCGCAGCTGCTACTAGATGGAGCGCGCAGTTTTGAAAAGGGTATGTTGCACCCGGCTCGGTGGGCACCCTATGTTTGGGCCCTTTATTTGCTCTCCAGCAGTTTTAATGTCTTCGGCATTGTTTCCGGAAGGCTACAGGTAGGTAGCGGCTCGGAGGTACATTTGACGCACTGGGAGGCTACGCGCACTAGGGAGGCAAACGCGCAGTATCAACTAAACAGGTTTTTTCACCCAACAGTAAATAAAAATTCAAAAACAAAAACGAATTCAAAGACACATGCGCCAAAAACTTGAAAATTGTCAGAGTTGAGTTGTATCAAGAAATAAGATTAGGTACTACATAAAGTTCTACCTATAATGGGAAAATGAGTCATTAACATTGTAAAAGTCAGTATGAGGAGCGGCACTTTCTACACTCCGTTCACCCTTAAGCTGAGACTACGGTGGAAGCTACGTTCTCACCCGGCCAATCAGCCGCCTCCCTTTTATCACCTGACCCGGCTCTCGGCGCGTGGGTGTGGCCGGGAGCGTGATGACATGGCGAAAGAAAGGCATACGACTGGTCCAACGTGGACGTAGCTTCCGCTGCAGCCGCAGCGTATCTGAACGGAGCACACATAGTGGTTACAAAATCCCGAGGACACCTAAGTGTAATTTATACCGGTTAATTTAGGGATACCGCCCTGGCTCGCTGGTGACTGCTGCCCGCCTTGGGTGAGGCAGCGGTGGGAGTGCGAAGCTCGGTGCGGCGCAGGCCGAAAGCACGTGTCCTTCCATCATCATCATCATCATCGCCCAAGCTGCGGCTACCGGTTGACGACGTTAGACCTCAAAGCGTAACGTTAGGCCTAACATTAGGCCTAATGTCAGGCCAGCGCATACTCGCGTTCCCCTCTCCCACTGCGCCGCCAACAGTTCGGCTGGCCCCTTAGCAACGAGCACGCCGTTGCTATAGGGCCACATGTCGAGTGCAGTCGATGGGAATTTAGGTGCTCTTTCGTTGCTACAGACAACGCCGGGCATCGCTCAATGGGATAGTTGATGCTTTAACATTGAAACGATTATAAGTATATATTAACTTCAGAGGTGTTCGCTCCATCACTGCGATGCAGCAGCTTGGTAGGTCATTTGTAACTTGAGTATAAACACTAAAAAGAGTGATTCTAATGTAATCCTGCCTGTTATTTTCTGCCGTATACCAGGGAAGTTTATAGACACGATTTCTTATATCCGAATATACTGAGTAGCCCAAGTACGGCATCCTCCCGAAGTGGTCGTGTTCATTGTTTTTCTTCGCTCAGGGCTGGCCTACGTGGGCGGTCTTTGTTGGTCCACGAAAGTGGCCATCGGAGAGGACATTCCTCTCTCGTACAAAGGAGTCCACATCGCGGCGCACGAGATAGCCCACCTGTGAGTACCGCGCAGATGAACAAGCGCACTATATACTCCACTAGAGTAAATTGTTGGGCTAGTTGGTTTTGGAACTTGGAATGCATTTTAGCGCGAAAACAAGGACGAAAAGACGAGAATCAGAAAAAGGAACTCCTCTTTACGGACCGCAGTAAACACGCCGATTAGGATGGAGCCAATCAAATCGGAAAACAAGCGTATCGTCATCTTTGTGGGTTTACTATAGCAGGCTAAAGCAATCACGCACAGTGACTCTAGCGTGATTATGCTCCTTCTTTTTCTTTTTTTTGGTGCGTGGTTAGTCTAGACGGTGATGGTTAGCGCACAGAGGCGACTGGTACCGTGACAATGAACTTTTGGCGCTGCCTGAGTGACTCTATCAGACCGTAGAGTTTTTCTACGGTCGTATTTAATGCGAAAAACACGATATAAAAAAATTTAAAAATTTGAGTGTTTTTGTTTTTTTCGATGCTGCAAGAAGCCAATCGCTGAATTCTATGGAAAGAGCTCGGCGATCATGACGAGACCGAAAACGATCATGACGTAAGCATGACGTAATCAAAAGTGTGCATGGCGTAAGCAATGAGCATGACATAAGCACGCGAAAAATAATGTTCATTGGCACATCACCGACTTTTTAATAACGCGTCAGCATTAGTACCCAGATTGCGGGGAAAAGCTGGCGGCGTCCGCCTGTGGACAGAAGAGTGGAAATGGCAAGCGCGCCATAGAGTAATATACACAAGGTAAAGAGCGGACACTGCCATAGGCCCCAGCGGCCCAGATAGATCAGTGACAGGTAGCGCTCCTAGCGGGCGGTATTAAGTATAATCTGATTCCGTTTCCGGTCAAGTTAGTTTCGGTTTCGGTTTGGGCGTTTCTGCTCCGGTTTCTCCGGTACCCTTCTTTCTCTTTCCTCCCCGCCTCGCTCGGCTCTCGGGAGCTCCTTGACTCCCGAAGCCGCTGTTTTTTTTTTTTTTAATACTGACGTACTTTTGCTTTATTTTTTACGATAGAGTCCGTGCAAAATGTGTCAAAGAATATTTCAACTTACTTCACAAAGCGGAAGTATATATATTTCTTGTTCTTTTTCTATTGTAAAGCATTGAAGTTACACAATCGCCGCATTGACTCCTGACTGGTGGAGCATTTGGGGGTCAACAACAGTAAGTGGTTCAAACACATTTTATTGAACCACATTCATGTATACATGATTTACTTCAAAAGCTCTGTATGTTTTATACAAAAGAGATCGATACTCACAAAAATAAATGAATATGAAGGACTTCGGCATATCGTACACTTCGTAATTGATTCTTAGCGGAACCAAGTTAACAAAACCTTTCCACGGAGAACATGCTGTATGATACATTCACCTTCACGCCGACTCGGGTACGGGAAGTAAGTGCAAAAATAAGACATCGCTATCATTACCAGTCATGAGAGTATAATAACAGTGCGAAGCACACGCCGGATAGTACAAATTCCCGATTTCCGGCAAATGTAAAAAACACCAATTCGCATAACCTCAAACTCACTGCGGGCGAGCCATTACCAAACAATGAGAACTCTATTCGTAATCTGACAAGATTCAACGTTCCTAAACATTCCCTGAAATTGTTGAGAAAAGAAATATGGCTTCAGAAAAAAGCGACTAAAAAACTATGGACAGTAGATACAAAAGTGGATACATTTTCTTTCAAATATTTTTAGCCTCTATACACTATTTTCTATCGAATTTTTGTAGAAAGTGGAAAATATTTTTTTAGTGAGCCGTGATACACATTCGCTGGAAAAAGGGGAAACAAATATTTGGAGAGCAAGCTGCACCGCCCACTTAATAAGCACTTTTTGTTTTGACTTTCTTACTAGCGACTGAAGAGTGCAACCGAACTTTGTCCAAATTCCGGTTAAGAAATCAAACAGGTCAACACAAGCCTATTCTGCAAAACAATTTTAAAACCCTTTGTGGTACTCCTCTGGGCAAAGGCGAAAACCACCCAGACCTCAAAGTGTGCTATACAAGGCGGCACACACTCCTCGAACATGTGTAACACTCTCTATTATGGAAAGAAAGTGGCTTTCTAGTTGATGAATGAAATGAAAGGCAGCCTGTGATGGTACTACTAAGTCCCCGAAAAATTTTCCAGGCACGTGGTATGCTTTAGGAACAAGACAGTACTGGTGAGGCCAGGTCAAGTTATTAGACTCATCCGATAGCAGCTGAGAACAGCCATAGCTGTAAGATGTCTGTTCAAGCAAAAGCTTGATCAAATAGCCCCAAACGTAATAAAAAAAGTGGACGAGTCATCAATAGACCTGATGTCTGATGCCAGCTCAGAAATTTCCTCTAGTGGCGGGAAGTTACCAATTGGAAGACGTTCTACAATGTCTGAAATTAATCGTGGTGCGAAGGTATTTGCACCTCCTTTACGAGGTCAGCCTTATCATCCTCTATGTTTCCATTGTCCGACAGTTTGAACAGTTTCTTTAACCAGAGGTGTTTTAGTCTTGAGGTGAACTGATGCTCCTTTTGGGTTTGTGTTGCAGCCCAGCATTTGTCGTATATAGCTCCAAAAACGTTCTCAAGTGTGTCTTGCTGCAGGCGTGGTGTAAGTAAGAACTTAAAGTCATAGCTGCTTGAAAGGTCATCCCAGAGCATGAGGACACTTTTTATAGTAACTTGCCACCCAATGATGGCTTATGGCTGCCTCTTACTTTGGAACTGCCATGCTGAAATCCATCCGAGTTACTGGTGGAGAAAATCAAGTATTTCAGATTCTCCCTTCAGAATGGCATGACGCAACTTCTGCCCTGTCTTCTTGAATTTTTTAGCTATTTAGACAATCAAAAAGGTATGCACATCCTATCACAGAAATAGGCTGTAGCCATGGCTGCCTCAGGAAGTTCCTTTGCATAAACAAGAGATAGGATTACAAGAAAGATTGAGGCACTCAGTACCTGTGGGGCACAATTTTCTTTCATTTCCAATGCAAAGTTTGTGGGCTTGGAGATTGCTCTTGGTTGTTTTGGGAAGGTGCGGAACATCAAAGACAAAGTAAACGTGTTCGTTGTCAACTTCAAAAAATGGCTTATCGCCACACACACCAAGCTTACGTTGGAAGACCCCTAACCACAGACCACAGCCTTTACTGTGAAGCCAACAGTCTTAAAGGGGCGATGCACTGATATTTGTATTTTGCACAAATACCACTTAGAACGAATCCCTGACGTTAATGATCTGTGAAATTCCCGTTCGTTTTCACCACACGCAATCGAAGTCGCAGAAAAAAATTAAGAAAAACGAGCAGAGTTCACCCCCTCAACTCGCAGCCAGAACAAGCGGCCCCGTGATCTGGAGCCGATTATATGGCGCCAATGTTGATCATAGCCATGCGCTGGGGTTGGCAAGACACAGGACACGCGCTGAATTCCAGACATTGTTATGGTTCGGTTGTTGTCGTCATTGCAGCGATTGGACACAGGACACTACCCGAATGTTTCTCGAGCTACCGATTATCACGAGTCCAAATCGAGTGTCCACGCCATGCTTGGGTCCAATCTATGAGCCGTATTCAAATATTGTCACTGGGCGGTACTGCTACCGCCCAGCTACGTCATCAGGTTTTTCGAAGGAGAGATTGAATGAAAACACTCGGTTTTGTCCTCGAAATTACAGCGCAACAAAGCAGTTTCTTGGTCAGTGGCGTTGTGTGCGAGTATCCTTGAGTCCCACTACTGCCAGTAAGCTTGTGTAAAGTGAAAAACATTCCAATTGAATATCGTTGCACCGCCCCTTTAAGCTCCCGAATGAGAGAAATAAGGAGACTGCGTTAAACATAAGACGTTGTTGGAGTGTGCACAAGAGTGTATGCAAGGGGCTAAACGCAGCTCCTGAAAATTTCAGACAGCATAACAACCAAGGCTCTATCTGCAATGTTAGAGGTTCGTTCAACACCGTCATCTGTAAACCCGTGGACAATGTCGTGTGTAGGGTCGTAAGTTCAATTCTTTTTTTAAAACACTCTCATCGAAAATCAATATGCACACGCGTTCAAGTGCAGCCAGACAGCCCGGCAGAAACAACAGCGCGGGAAGCTCGAACTGATCGGCTCCACGAATTCACGCCGAGCATGCGAGCACGCGGGCGGTCATGCGTCACCTTGATTGATGCAAAGTCGACCGAACATGATGCAGCAGAAAGCACAGATGGACGGCACGCAGGGCACAGACGAACGACGCAGGGACGAGCAGAGGGCCGAGGCCATGCAGAATGATGCAGAGGCGACGGCGTGCAGGCAGGCAGGCCATGGCGCCATGGCAGGCGTCATTCATCACGTGGTTTTTGTGACGTATTTGATTTAAACTATTTAGTCGTTTTAAGCACTTTAAACAATTTTAAAGCATTACCATTTAAAAAATAAAGACTTTTCACGGAAAGAGTTTTAAATAATTTTAACCAAATTGCAGAAAAGCGCCACGTAGCGGAGGGTATTAAACGCACTATCTGGGCCGCGAATCGGCTCTTGTGTCCTCTCTTTACGTTTACTATATTACTCTATGAGCGCGCCGCATAGAGACGAGGAAAACAGTGAAGGTCAAAGGCGAGAGGGAGGTGACGTCACGAGGCGGAAGCCAAGGAGCGCGCGGATGGTGGGACCAGTCTGAACTTGCAGGTGTACGGGAGCGTGTATGATTTCTACATAAATTAAAGGAAGATCTGCTAGTGGATCGTTGGGGAGTGCGTTAGCATGACGCTTGGGAGACACCACACTCGTCCTCCTTTGAAAAACGCTAACACTGACCCCGTAACAAAACCCCCAAAAAAAACCCCAGCAAAAATAGAGGAAGCAAGAGAGAAAGCCAGAAAAGAAGGGTAATACAGAAAAGTGAAGGGATGAGCGTTACTGTTTCTTAAAGAGGAAGGTGTGTGGCGTTTCGAGGTGGCCATGCTAACGCATTCTCTAAGGATCCACCGATGGATTTTAAGTCTAGACTCAGGGTATACGTCATCCCTAGCTTCAACACTGCAAATAGGGCCGCTATGTCGTGGGTTTCTCTTTATTCGGGTCATAACTAATCACGAGAATCGACCCTTAGGCATGCACATCTAAAAAGGAGCATAGCGAATGCATCGATGTCCTCATGTACCAGAGTCAAAGGGTAAGGTGGCTCTGTTAAGATGATTGTGCTGGGACCCTAGACCCATCGAACACAAAGATGAAACCGAAGTTTGCGGAGCGTGCCGATTGGACGCTCGCGACGACGTGACGCCGCGCTTTTGCCGCCGAAATCAGATCGGCGCTCTCCGCGGACATTTGGCTCTATCTGTGTGTCTGACGAGTCTAGAGTTCTTGATGTGTCCGGATAACGCAGTGACTGATCTTGGGCACCAATATCTCTCAGAATGAGCCCTTAGGTGCAGCGTTTTGGTTACCGTTAGGCCCCAAGATACAGTAGTGGTACACATCCGTCTTAGGAGAGTTATGGTTTAAAACAGAGTTTGGTTCTTAAAACAAATGAAGGAGTCAGTCGATTAGTTTTATTTTCGAGTCCTTATCTCTGAACAATGTTACATTTTTTTTTACTAATAGAAACTGCTCATTGATACACAAAGTGTTTCCAATGGCGTACAGCGAATGTATTACCAATCATGGGCTTAAATCAAGCTGCTATACATGCCCAACTTTTTAGGGTCTTAAGTGACTGATTTTCAGCAGGTATTCGCACGTAAGGGGTTTGTATACATATTGAGGGGCCGATTGTTTTTCAGGCTCGGAGCTGTGCACGACGGCAGCGGTCCCATCAGCTACATACCAGGCCACCCCGGAGCGAAGAAATGCCCTTGGTCTGACGGCTACATCATGAGCTACATAGACAGTGGCGAGAAGAACTTTCGCTTCTCTGTGTGTACCAATGAACAAATTCGAATTCTTTTAAGGTAAGCTCGGGCCACAACGCCATTCACGCCTACATTAAAACACTGGGATGGGCAGATCTTTCAGTAGAGATATATTTTTGTATCGTGACAGCGCGCAATAGCGCTAAATTAATTCAATATGTAGCCTACATAAAAATTACAAATACAATTAAAAGAATAATATTTAAGATACAAACCACGAGAAAGTACTCCTGAGATCACTGAATATTGTATTGCAACTGCTGATGAGTCGCGGGTATTTCATTCCCGTCTTAATCCGAGCGATGTGTGAGAAGAACATTCTTATGGTTACCTGTTCTCGCATATGCCTCCCAGGTACGCGACCCTCATACGGCTCTAAATATTGACAAGTTAGAAAAAGTAGAGAGATGTGCATTGCGCTTCATTAACAATAAATTCAAACGAAACGAATCTGTGACGTCATTGTACGAGAAAGCCCAATTGGAGTTCCTATCCTCGAGGCGCCGTACAGCGAGGCTAAAGCTTTTATATACGCTACTGAATGGCGATTTTAACATTGATTCCTCAAGATATTTGACGCCACGACTGGTCCGAGCTGTGCGAAGCTTGCACAAGAAGGCGCTGGTTCCGTGTCTGTGTCATACTGACTCTTTTTAATTTACTTTTTTTTTCTTCTCACGAACGATCGCAGAGTGGAACAGCCTTTCCGAATTGCACGTGAACAAGTCATCGGTCGAATTACTTTTAAAAACATTGGAAGGCTGCCTGTGAAAAGTTTACTGTTTTGTTTTGTTTTGCTGTTTCTTGCATTATTATATTAATACAGTGTATTCACTACATTTCATTATTCTTTGTATAAGTTCTTGTGCAGTAAAATGCACTGACCCCTCCTGCCACAACCTTCAAAAGGAGGTTAGCAGTATTTATCAATAAATAAATAAATAAATAAAGTAGAATATCTTGGCAATTCTGAATTACACCTTTACTCGTCGCGTTATAAATTACGGTACTTAGTCTTTGAGTTGCTTTTACCAACAAAGTGAATAATGATGGGTAATGCTGCGCAGGTTATCGTTGAGAAATATATCATTTTGTGTTTTGTTTTTAAACAAATTAGAAGTTGAAAATATAGAAATGAACCGCCCTTATGATAGCAGTGCATTTTTTAACAACTCTATTGATAAAGTATTTAGGGTCTTGGTAATATTTGAATTGTTCTAAGATATTTTTCATAGATATTTCATAGATTTTATCACTATGCTGTAAATTGGGCTGTTTGTTGCCATTTGGGAATTAATACAGGTGGGAGCGATTTTATATCAATGAAATGTACCGTGTAATTAAAATAATGAAATTACCATAAAGTTACCACAAAGTGGTTCAACAATGTCAAAAAAGGTCATTCAAAATTCTTTACTGGTCTTTTTAGGAACAGAGACGAACGCTGCATCGGTCTTTCTTCCGAGCAGGACCTCACAAGCAAAAGCAGCAAACTTCCAGGACAAACAATTTCAGGCTCCACGTTTTGTGAAGCCAGGTATCCATCCTGGGAGGACGTAAAATACCGTGTGGTAAGCTTATAAACTTTTTTTTCTATGTTTGCTTTGGCCTTTGTGAACGTGAAGGGTTTTCGAATTACTTCTAGTTGCACCTATGAGTTCTATGCCGAATCTTCAAGCTCATCAAACTTTGTTACAATCGCATACTGCTAAATTGATGTAGGTTCAGGAGACGATTAAATACCGAATGGAGAAGGTTGAATATTCTGGTGAACCAGTCACCAATAGCCTGTATTTCGATCTTCGGCCCTTAACGGTGCAAACTTCCATCAACTCGAAGACACTACGTGCATATAACGCAGCACACAATAATCGTTTCTTGGAATGTACGTGTTCATAACTAAAATTAATCTGATTAACATAACCTTAAACGTTTCAATTACAACTAGAATGAAAACAAATATTTGTGTTAAAGTCATTTAAACTTTATTCCAGAGGACTACATATTCTGAACGTGAATTCGGAGTACAGCGTGTGTATCCTAGACTCTGAATAAATGCTGCGGACGTAGTACTATGCTTTTAATGTTATTCGCCTTCTACATCTTAGAGTGACATCGTTTCATACAGAGCTTACCTTCCGAACTTAAAGCTTTGGCGAGTTTACCGAACTATCGGTAAGGAAACATTACAGTTTAATAAACAAAGCAAGAATTCGTTACTTTTAGGATTAAGTGCTGAAATATAAAAAAAAAAATAGAATGAATTTAGTTGTAATTTAGTGACCATTATTTCAACATATACCTTTCACAGCATACTGTTAGATATAGGAAACTTTTGCTAACGGAACGTTTTCGTTTACTGAAGCTTCCTGGAATGGAGAAAAAATGCCTCTTCCATTGTTGTGGGCCCACTGACGAAAATGGAGCCGCAGTGTGCCAGCAGCACCCTGCTCTTGATGGCATGAGTTGCGAGAAGGAGAAGGTAAGGCAAAAACCAGTCGCCGTGAAACTTCCAGCATTGATTATGTGAGAGGGTATTATGTAATGATCATTAGACATGATTTGGAACGTTTTCTTGAAACTCGCTATTTAATGACAACACTTTTTTATTGGCCAAGGCTCATCGACATACTTTGGTTACTCTATTAATGATATTTGGCCCCTTCTTCAACGACTCGCTTTAATGCAACGTACTATAGTGCTTGTTTCTTATTGCGTCGATAAAAAAGGAAGCGTGGGCAGTTGAAAAATTCTTATAATAGACATTTTATGAAAGCAACGCTTCTGTATTGCTCTTCAGCAGGTTCAAAATATTTCGAATCCCATTTTAGCGGCATAGCTGAATAACGACTCTTTGTTTATTTACGTATGAATTTAAACAACTTGTGGTTCGCAGATTTCCAATAATAAAAATGTTGGAAATCGAAAAAACAAACAAAAACGTTTCTGCTGGTGACGACGAAATGAAGGCACTGCCAATTAAACATATAGCGGCTCTATTGAGCACAATTCTATCTTACATTATAAATAGGATGCTTGAACCTGGTAATTTTTCTGACGAGCTGAAATTCGCCAAAGTTATTCCTGCGTATAAAGGAGGTGGAAAAACAAAAATCTATAACTACAGACCAATTTCTATTCTTCTAATCTTCTCTGAAATGTAAGAACGCGTAATCAATGAATAGTTAACTAGTTTATTTCAGAAGCATAATATAACAACTAACGTGCAATACGGTTTTCAGAAGCATAAGTCCACGGAGCAAGCAGTTTTGAATATTAAAGACATAATTGTAGAAAACATTGAAAGTAAATTTTTCACGCTTGGTTTGTTTCTTGCTTTAAAGAAAAGCGTTCGACACTTTTGGACATGACATCTTACCATAACAACTATATAATTATGGTATAAAAGGTTAAGCGCTTACACTAATTGAAAATTATTTAATGGATCGTTATCAGTACGTTTCTATTAAATAATAATATCGGATAAAATAAAATACAACACGGTGTCCCTCAGGGCTCTTTCTTAGGTCCTTTATTATTTCTATTTTACATGTATGATATTATGATGATACTAGATTCGCCCGACCTCTTAATGTACGCAGACTATACAAATGTCTTTTTTACTGGAGTTATGAAAGGGTGCCTAGAAATTACTGCAAATGCCTACCTCCATAAGCTATCAAATTGGTTACGAATAAATCGATTGAAACTAAATACATATAAAACCAAATATATAATTTTCAAGTCAGTCAACAAGCGAGACAATAGCCATACTAACATTAAATTTTGAAGAAGCAATTCTCGAGAAAGTGGCCGAACAAAGGTTTTTAGGCGTCTGGTTTAGCGAAGAACTCTCATGGTCTACGCATGTCAATAAACTCAAACCTGAGCTGTCTCAAATTACTGGTATATTATATAAAATTTGAGATTTGATACCCATTTCATTATAAATGACGTTTTATAATCCCCCTTTTTATTCTAAGATTAGTTATGGAATACTAGTTTGGGATACGACAATTAAATCAAGCTATAACAAACTAATTATAATTAAAAAAAATATTCACATTTCGAAAATCATAGAGGCGATATAAAGAAAATTGAGCACCCTACCACTCTTCATTAAATATGCGTTAAAGGCGAACCAAATATATAACTATAAATTATTTCAGTGGATACACGAAAATAAGCTTTAGTCGGTACCCGCACAGTTTTTCAGTTTATACCAACGTTACTAGAACCACTCAGTTGGGAAACTGCCATAGAGACTTACCTGGAAAAGTGGCCCCGATCTGTCCTGGAGCACCGAGCTAATGACGAACACAACGCCACCATTTCTCCCGCAGCGGCCACTCGAGGAACTGTACGTTACTTCTATTTTGGCTTTAATCGGCCATTTTGGAGCCGAAACAGATACAGCGGAAGAGGTTACAGGGGTGCCACCCCCGTCTCCCCCGCGGACACGCCACATCTTCCTACCAAAGTTAAAATGCACCTAGGTCGGGACGCGCTACATGAAAGCACCGCTAAGGCGTGGCTGTATAAAAACAATATTAATTGTGCCGCAAAACCCTGCAAACTAAAGATTTTAAAAACATCACGCGCGCATAATTTTGTACTAAACGCCAATAAATTTCATACAAAAAGAGTGTTTTCCTTTTGTTTTTACGCAAAAAATATGCTATGTAAAAGCTGAAGGTGACCACAGTACAAACAAATGACAAAGAGTGGCGCTGTTGTCGTATTTAGCTCGGTCTCGGCGGACGCCAGCGGCCCAAGTTTCCACGGCGAGTTTCTCAACTGAGTGTTCTAGTAACGTTGGTTTATACGCATTAAGAGACCCGAAACACAAAATTTCAAGCATCCGAAATAATTACGACAGAAAAACATAATTATCAGATTACTAAATTATTAAGTTGCCCAGTTCGTGACATTGATCACAGTGCCCCGTTTTCTAGTCTAAAACAAGACTGCAGACGATCCCTTGTTTGCAGTGATATAGCAGTTTCGTATTCTTAAGATAATATAATATTAATATAATTGTTCTGTGTAAATTCTTTCTTCTTTATTTTTATATATTCTGCGTAGCCTTGGTTCAACCTTTTTCTTTTGTACGAACTCTTATCTAATTCTGCGTTCCCTTTGTGTACCTGCAGTGTCACCATATAATGTTTACCATTGGGTCGCTTATGTATACATATATACTGTTTTGATAAATATTGACTTACGATAATATTACCATGTAATTGAGAGCGTATGTATTCGGAAATATTGATGCTGCTGCTACGTGATGAGACAAGTGTCATATCGTTTTTGTTTTGTTGTATTGATTTTTTTATATCTAGGTTGTGTATGTATTTGAAGCTGTTGAACTGAATTCGGGGGGCAGGAACACTGTCAAGAACTATGCCTTTTCTTCTGCTCCCTCAGGGGGTAATTATCCGCAACACAAATAAAGAAAAAAATAGCAGAGATCTCCCTAGGTGTGTTAGACGCACAGTGAAAGTTGTCACACAAATGTATAACATACCCGAAACAATAACGACATTCACGAGGAGAGAGTGTCCTCCTTCAAAACACAGCAAGAATATACCAGATGAATAAAAGCAGAACGCGGAAAATACTTACCCATTGCGTTTGCACAACTACACCGCCTATGTAGTATTATTGTAGCAGGGTTACGTGCGGGAGCTTCATGCTGACAAACGAATAAAAAAACATTGCGATGCACTCCGCTTATTGCCAGGCACGACACAGTACACGAAAGATGTCAATAATATGCTGTCGAAGTTTGACGCATGAACGACGCAGTATCTAGTGCGTTCAACCTGATGCCAGCTTCACAATGTATATACTGTATTGCTGAGGCAATGGGCAACGATTATCGTTGACGTTACTTCTAGAATCCGATACTTTCCAGGCGTATGCAGTGAAGTGGAGAATGTACGTTTAACTTTTTATGTTTCAGATCGAAACGAGCAGGGATGGGGTTCGATAGCTATATACTCCCGTTTTGATCTGGACGGGCGTCATACGAACGTGCGGTCGTGTATGAGCACTGCGTGATGCACGTTAAAGAGCGCAGGATAGCGGTGGTACTCCAGTGGCTAAGTTTCTGATCTACTGCAAAAATGTAAGACGACCACTAGGACTAAATTCCCGCAGTCTACACACATATATACAACACAATTACTTCCTCAGTTTCAGCACACGCCACCTTCTTTGTTACAAGTTAAAAATTAAAATGGATGTTTATGAGCTATTTCTGTATAAGAAGTATATATAAAATAAATCAGATGTGGATATTTGCTTTGACCTTTGTATCACAGAGATAATTTTGGCGAGAAAAGTAAGAACTACTGATCCTCAAATTAAACCTATTTTTTAACGAACTAAAGACTAGCGACGTGGAGTGCTGATCTTGACATTCGAGAGAAAAGTAATTTCAGGCACTTTCGTACAGATGTGCTTCTATTTTTAATCACTGACCTTATAAGAGACTTGAACCTCTGTGCGTACCGACGTTTTGCTTCGGGCATGATAAAAAAAATTGTTATGCGCAGTTACGCGTAAAATCTCCATAATTTATAAAAATAAAAACCACGAAAAATGTAGTAATCTAATTAAAGAAAGTAATAAACAATGTTCTTTTCCCAGATATGCAAGAACGGCATCTGTACCTGACGTCGAAACAAGAAGGAGGATGACAACTGACATGACTCTGCACGCTTTTCTAAAATTACAAACTTATAACCTCCGAATAAACAGTGAAACACAAAATTTTGTTTTTATAATTTTTTTTAGCGCATCAAAATGTAGGCCAAGAATGTACGCCTCAGAGTCCTATTGTACGAGTTCATGGTCAGTCGTGAAAACATTCTGCGCGATTAAATATTTTCAACTGCATTAAACGTATCTTCGTTTTCTAGTTAATACAAGCGGTCTTTAAATCTGCTTGTTTTTTACATCTATCACAGATACACCACTTTGGCTTATCTGACTTTAAGGTTGGCGTGTCCGAGCTGCAGATTTTTTTTTTTATGAGACCAAGGATTATTTTCTGTTGAAACCTAGTATTGATTGTACAGTAACAGATGTTGTTTAATGCTAGTTCATTGACTGAACACCAAACACTCGAAAGTACGTTTAATTTCATATATTTTTATATGTGGAACAGAAATAGGTTACCTTTTCAGGCCTCACCAATATTCATATCGGATAAATTGACAATACCATTTTTTTTTGGAACAGATATGCATACTATGCAAAATGTTTAACACCAATTATTCACTAAGAAAATAAAGACATAAAGGCATGCATCTGTAAGAATTAAAATGCATTGGTTATTGTAATTATAAAACTTCAAACTATACAGCTCGCTACACTCTTGTAAGGCAGTAAGTAAGTAATATTTATTTCCAGCAATATTGTGCTGAGGGCACCAGAAAAAATGCTTCTATGAGGTAGCTTGTCCGGGTCTGGTGCCCCTGAACCTACAGGGCATGGAAAAGACAACAACAACAATACATTACACTTTTTATAAATAAAACAAATGCGTACATTCTTTTTTGTTAAACAGTGAATATAATTGTGGTCGGTAACAAACTTGTTAAGTAATGTAAGCAGGTTATGCGCAATAGATTGCAGTGCATAATATGTACGAAAATGAGGCACATTCCAGAACTTTGCGTCTGACACAGATGGAAGATGCACGCTTTGTCAGGTGGGATACATTAGACGAAAAGGAAATAAACTCATCGATCGAAAATAAATAAGAACATAGCAAACGTTGCTCATATACACCGGCAATCCTCAGGACGTTGAATTTAAGAAATAATGGTTTCGTATGAGTGTCGTAAATCACGTTTACAACAAAACGCAGCATTTTTTTTTGCAGGAAAGTAAATTGGTTAATATTTGATTTAATTGTTGTGCCCCAAACCAAAAGACAATACTTAATTTGTGAGCTAAACAAAGCGTGATAAATTTGCATTTTAATATTTACAGGCAACAAAGAGCGACAGTGGCATACTATTTTAACAACTTTTGACAGTTTCTTAACTAAGTAATCGATGTGATTATCCCATTGCATATATTTTGAAAAAATGACACCTAACGTTTTGTGCTGTTTAACTATTTTAATCTGGTCGGTGCCAATCTCTAGAGCATAACTACTAATAATGTGCTTATTTACAGGTATAAACAAAATTGCTTCAGAGTTTACAGTGCTTATTTTAAGACCATTTATTGCTGACCACGAAAGAAACTTTTCCAGAACTAAGTTTCCCGTGAGTATAAGTTCGTAAATATTTAATGTAGATAGAAATATACTCGTGTCGTCTGCATACATTATAAAATATGCTTGGTTGCAAATATTGACTACATCGTTTATATACACATTGAACAGCAGAGGGCCGTGCATGCTGCCTTGGGGCACACCAAACTTCAAGATTTGCAAAGAGGAAACACGATCGTTCACTGAGACGCATTGCTTACGATGTTCTAAATAGGAATGAAGAAGTATCAAAGGCGTGCCACGTATGCCATAACACGAAAGTTTATCAAGGAGCGTTGAATGGTTAAGACAATCAAACGCTTCACTATGACCAATAAATATTCCCAGTGTCAGCCGTTTGCATTTTATATTGCGTAATATTATTTCTCTCTGTGATGTTAGAGCGCTTTTTGTGGATTTTTCCCCGCGAAACCTGAACTGGGAGTAAGTTCAGATTTCGTCTCATACACGACAAGAGGTCATCTGCATGTACAATGAATAATCTTATTTCAGAATACCGCATGCCTCTACACTTGTCGAGAGAGGTGGGTGTTTTCCTTAAAGGAGTGGTGCAACGATATTCAATTGGAATGTTTCTCGCCTCACACGAGCTTACTGGCACTAAGGGGACTCAAGGATGCTCGCAAGCAACGCCACTGGCCAAGAAACTCCTTTGTTGCAGTGTAACATCAAGGACAAAAGCGAGGGTTTTCATTTTATCTCTCCTTCGCGAAACTTGATGACGTAACTGAAGGATCGCAGTACCCCCAGTGAGGATATTTGAAGTCGGCTCAAAAATTAGACCCGAGAATTGCGTGGGCACTCGATTTGGGCTTGCGATAATCGATAGCCCAAGAAGCATTCGGTTAGTGGCCCGTGTCCAGTCACTGCGACAATAGACAAACCATAACAATGCCTGGAACTCAACGCGCGTCCAGTGCTTTGCCAACCCCAGCGCGTGGCTATGATCCACATTGGCGCATATAATCGAATCCAGATAACGCGACCGCTTGTTCTGGCTGCGAGTTGAGAGGGTAAACCTGCTCGTTTTTCTTTAATTTTTTTCTGTAAATTAGATTGCGTGGGGTGAAGAAACGAACGGGTGTTTCACAGGCCATTAACGTCAGGGATCCGTTCTAAGCGGTATTCTCGCAAATTAAAAAACTCGTTGCATGGCGCCCTTTAATAGGTTTATCGTAGCTGCGAAATGGATAAATTGGTCAATACACAATGTAAACCTCAAAAGGCATACTGCAAAGAGAGAAGCAGTTTCATGTTTGATGATCCTTATTTTCTTCTCGGATGGTCATCCAAATTCACGAACGACAAAAAGTCTTCACGGTATTTTTTTACAACTGAAATATCGTACGGAAGAAATCTATACAATATTTATAACACCTGAATGTGTGACATAAATATCGACACCGCGTACAATTAAGGGTCTCATAAATAAAATAGTAACATTGAGGCAAATCACACGAACTTTATAACTTTAGGATAACCCAGCTGGGCACAGCTTCAGAATATTTACTTAAGTATAGAATATCTCATTGTTGTATCCCAGCTGAGCACTACGAGCTCGAATTGACCCTCTGTAGCATCGTGCTACGGTAACCCCCTCCCAGATGGAACGTACCTCTTGCTGTATAAATATTCACGACAAAACCTGGGTACGAGAGTGTTGATAATAGAAATTACACGCAAAACAGAGAACACTTTTTAATGAACTTTCTTAATTTATGTGCCTATGAACAGCTGACACATTGTAAACAATACAGAAAGACAACTGGACACAAACTGCCATGAAATCTGACCAGAGCAGAAAAAGGTGAAAAAATAGATTCGCAAGGAAATTTAATCTTCACAGCTCTCATGTAGATCGCATAACACAAATGCAAGAAGATATTTTATATCTAGATTATGGTAAACATCTCCTACACCAAAAAAGACCAAGAGGCGTCATGAAACTTAGCTAACATAAAATTAAGTCCTGTTTTGAGCGTATAGTGATTTATTTGTCCAAGTGCAGATTCGAACACGGTCGTGTGCCGTCAAAGAAAAGAAATATAAGAACGTGGCCTGCTAAAACAAGTAGCACGTGGGCCTGCTAAAACAAGTAAACAAATCTTTAGATGGTTCAACAGCGCGAGTTTAGTCTACGTGGGTATGGCGGCATTGTTTCACACTGTAAGAAATTTGCTAAATGCAGTATGACTCGTAGCCTGGGTACTTTTAACTGCATCATGTATTAGTGATACCCTAAAACACACGGGTACGATGCTCAACCAGATGGAAACGGACAGGAGTGGTGATCGAACCCAGGATTCCTTGGTTCTGACGCGCGAGTTTTCGCTCCGCGTGCTCCGAACCAGCACTCATCCCCTCTCTTTTTTTTTTGTGATCGCTGGCACGCTTCCGTATTACATACACATTGTTAGAGGCAAACAGAGAACACCACGAGAGGTACAATGGCGTCTCGAGTGGAATTCCCACAGCTGGTTTCGACGTTGGCACACGAAAGACTATAAGAAAAATATCAACAACATAAATTATCAATTGAAGGATATCAATGATAAGATCGAGACAAATTTTGGTGGTTTTACGTCTCAAACCAACCAAGGGTGTCTGGCATGCCTCAGCGGAGGACGGAGGATTAATTTCTACTTTCGGACCATCTTTGACGTAAAAACGAAATCTCGGTTATACAACGCCTCATCTGCAATAAGCTTATGTCAGATTGCGGACACCTTGGCCGGAATTGGAACCCACCGAATTGGGATCTCTAAGCCGGTGCTATTCCACGGCCCCACCCGCTTCTGGAACACCGAAGCGTCTTTTCTAGCACCTTTGTTTGGACCCAGCAGGACGAAAAAGTACAGACGGGCAGGTTTTTTGCAGTTGTCCTTTTTTGCATTCTACAAGTTTGTGTCTGTTCGACCTTTTCGTGTTACCTTTCCTTAATACAAAATGCACAACATCCAACTTAAAAAAAAGCCTAAAAGGCGTTTTCTTAGACAGTTTTGTCCAACACATCCTGGAGAAATTTCGAGAAACATTCTTATTTTTAGTAAATGAGCCTTATCATGATACTGATGGGCAAAATATGAATAATTTAATGAGCAACATTTTACAAACGATTAAAGTACTAGGGTGGCTATTTTACGAGCTGCAGCAAGTAGTACACGGAGTGAGTCGAGCTGTATAAGTGGTTGTACACCAATGATGTAATTCGAATTAGTTGATATTGTTTTATTTAAGTACAGCTCTTTGCACTTATTAAGGACACTTCTATTTCATGCCAAGATTTGATTTCTTAAAAAATAGGAAGTATATTTTAAAAAAAATCTTCAAAGATAGCTCCGAAAATGGTGATTTATCAGCAACCAGACACAACTCAGAGGTAACTGAACCCGAGTAGCATATACATAAGCATCTGGAAAGACTTCCGGG